CAGCTCAGTTTGTAGGTATTATATGGAAGAATCATTTACATTTTTACTAATTTTTATTATCATAAAACATCCTTGTTCCTTGTATTTTTCATTCATCTTAGTCAACACACCATAGTCCCTATTAAGTATTACCCTTGACGACAAAAATATAAGCAAATACATATTAATAAATTGATTCAGGATCTCGTTTCTCTTTATTTATTTACTTATTTTTATCTGGAAAGATAATGTTTATAAAATCCTCCGTCGTTGATAATTTTATGGGGGAACTTCTATTTTCAAGGCTCTAGAAAGCATAATACGTGACAAGGAGCATGGTTAAGTCTCATGCAGGAATGTAAGATGAGTAGACTTGAGCCGAACCGATTTGCAAGCCGACTGTCTTGGCCTTTTTTGGCCCAAGCCAAACTCGGCGGAAAAACAATGCATTGCTCCGTTTTTTTTTTTTTTTTTGGAAAATATTTTTAACAATATAATAAAAATATATTCACGCTACCTGCTTTTGGACACAATGTGGCCCATGTGTCACGGGCCATTTTGGCCAATTGTATGAATCGGTTCAGGTGATGCCCAAAAATAAGGTTCAACCCAAGCCTTGGCACGATCCCATCGAGCGGTTGAATCACGGGCTGTCCGAACTGACGAGCCAAATTGACATCTCTAACTTCAAATCTTATGAGCGTAGATGTAATAAGATATTTTCTTATTTTAAACATTATTTTGATTATTGTTACATTATTAATACTAATTAAAAAAATGATAAAAAAAAAACGAAAGGGTACATGCATTGGTGGTGGTCAAAAAAGATTTGACCATCCACTCTATATCTGAGAGCAATAATGCTACTCAAACAGGGATTGCAAACTGGTGCTTTGACAAGTGTTGACAATTCAGCACCTGTGTGAGTAATTTTTTTTTCATGTCGCGTCACGCGTTCTTCTATTTTTTAATCCTATCACTAAGCTTGCTTGTATAGCATGATTGATCTGAGAGTACTTTCTTCACGCCTCCTTAAGTCCATCTAGATTATATATATTTTTGCCTTTTAAAAAAATACTATCTTTTGGCCAATTGTAGGTGGCCGGCTCGCGTAGATGCCAAAAATATGGTTTGCCCCGAGCCTCGACTTGATCCCATCGAGCGGCTAAGTCATGGGTCGCTCGAACCAGTAAACCAAATTGACATTCCTAGACTCATATCTTACGAGCATAGATGTAATAAGATATTTTCTTATTTTTAACATTATTTTGATCATTTTAGCAATACTAATAACAAAAATGATATTAAAAAAAATAGAAATGAAACGGTACATGCATTGCTGGTTGTCAAAATAGATTAGACCATCCATTCTATATCCAAGAGATGCTTCTTCATGCCTCGTTGTCGATCTAGGTCTATATAGATTATGTGACAAAAATAATAATAATAACAACAATATCTATTATGACAATGACGAAAACATTAATTTCTAAACAATATTTCAAATTGAAGTACGACATTTGAGTTAAATTGTTATTGTATTCTTGCAATCGTATTATGGATCCACATTATTTCATTTATTTAACATTCACTAAATTAGAATTTGAGAGTAAATATTACATACCTTGGATGTACTTTTAATTTGTCAGTTTCCTCCACACTCTAGATAAAAAAAAAAAGAAATCAAACGAATTAAACTCCTTTAGCATGTGAAACGAACGAATTGTAAAAAGCTCATGATACAACGAAATTATTTTATTCTTATGAACATAAAATTTTACATTCTATTGATTCGGAGTAGGTTATAGCTAACCAACCATTCGTAATATTAAAAACTCTACAAGTTTGCCTTCCAGAGCATAGTCCAGTGGTGCAAAGGACAAAAGTGATGTTATCTTACGTCTTGCTGACCGTCGGTTCGATTCCTGAGACATGAAATTGAATTCCTTATAAGCGCAGTGTACATACAGTTTTTGTTTCCGACCTGTTGGGGCACATTTTTTGATTTACTTCCCTTACAAAACTTTAGAAATGAGACGGTGAGGGCCTTCAAGGTTGGGGTTCAATCTTTAAAAATTCTACAAGTTTAATTTTTTATTAATATTTTCCTTTGTGAACTCGTATTTATTCGGTCAATGTGCCCTTGAAAATATAAGAAATCCTCTTCCAAAACGAGAGAGAGAGAGAGAGAGAGAGCAAACAAATCGTTAAAGAGAAAAAATAAAAATAAAAAAATAGATCACTTTTTTTTTTAAAATGAGCGTGGTGGGCTAGGTGGGGTCCAGAAGCCCTGGAGCATTTGTTTTCTAATTTAATTTTCCACGAGACGCTTATTCTGTGTAAATGCTCACACGCCTCATTTACTGCTATCACACTTAAATCATCTCATTTACACACGGGGAAAGGGAAATCACACGATCTGTCCCCAACTTAATATTCGAATGTCAATTTGGATTATAACTCTTAAAATGACGAAATAGTTCAAATTTTCATCGAATCATTTTATGTTTTCGATGAAAATATATCTCATTTTGACTTTTTGGTCAACGATTCCGATTCCAAGCCGAGAAATAAAACATATCTCTAATTTTCTTCGTTCCTCTTCATATCAATAACTATGATGAAAAAATTTAATGTCAACATTTACTAGGAGAAATAATTAGCCATTGTTTGATCCTCATTCTTTTTAAAATATATTTTTTCCTCTTTTCTTTTCAATTACACATCCTTTAATAAAATAATATTACACGTAAATTCAAAATTTTTCCTTATTTTTTTAAAATACATTTTTCTCTCCTTTAATTACACATCCTTTAATAAAATAAATTACATTTTCCCTCTTTTCTTTTCAATTACACATCCTTTAATAAAATAATATTACATGTAAATTCAAAATTTTTTCTTATTTTTTTAAAATACATTTTTTTCTCTCTTCTTTTCAACTATACATTCTTTAATAAAATAATATTACACGTAAATTCAAATTTTTTAATTATTTTTTAATCACACATTTTTCATCAATCTATAATTCTAAAATGCATTATTAGAAAATAATGAGACTCAAACAGACTCTTAATCTTGAGCCATAATGTGCTCAGTACTGTGCCACAAATAGATGTTTCTATACATCACATGTATATTCTTTTATTTATTGTAATACATTAGTGTGTATATGATCATATACATATGTAGTTAAGGACCATTTATGATTGTATACAAAATGTCTAATTCAAATTGAGATGTAAAATGATCCATAAGATTTTTTTTTTCCTGAAACATAGAAAACCGGTCCCCTTATTATCGAGTATTTCCAAAAAAATACTCAAATTTCTTACACGTTCTTGTGACCCCTGCATATTATTGCTCATTTGAACACGTAATGACAAATCAACTAAGTTATATTCAAATCGAATCAAATCAATTTTTTTTTTAATTTTAACGATATAGCAATTGAAAACAAAATATGGATTAGGATTAGGATTAGGATTAGGATTAGGATTAGGATTACGACTATTCTTATCTTATTCTAATAAGAAAGCTCTCTTAATTCATTTCAGTTGAATGTGGTCCTCAAAATCTAATATTGTAGGTTCAAATCTTATAGTGTAATTTTTTTCGTAGATCGAATTAGACTACTTCACTTTCACAACAATTTGAATTTGACCTTTTACAGATTATCAAAAATAGAAATTTTAATTAATCAAATGTCTAATTGGTTACCAATTACCATGCATGATATATATATATATATATATATCGCACTCCATATTTCCCCGACTGCAAGAGCAATTTCTACTGCTCGCATTTTCGAAAAATAATATTCATGTGCTGTTGCCACTTCAGGTCTTTTAATTAAAAAAAATATATCTATTATTATTAAGATTTACTGAAACCACGTTATTTTACATAGAGATGATAACAAAGTAGCAATATTGTCACTCCTAACAAGCAAAAATACGGTAGAAAATTTATTGTCAAATATTTCACCCAATGAGAAAATTAATTATATCGCCCCCCGGGGCATAGGCCAGTGGTGCAAAGAATATGAGCGATGTTTATCTCACGTCTTGCTGATAACCGCAGTGTGGTGGTTCGATTCCTAAGACATCGAATTGGATTCTTTATAGGCGAAGTGTATAGACAGCTTTTATTCCCTGACCTGTTGGGGCACATCCCGCGATTTATCTTCCTCACAAAGCTCTAAGGGCGGGGCGGTGAAGGTCCTCAAGGTTGGAGTCCACATTTTTTCTTTTATTATAATTATATCGAATCACCAACCACTCCTTAATTTTAGAGGATGCACACAATTGTATTCCTTTCCTTAACTCAATCCCACTAACGAAATTCTCTTTCCTTTTTTAACTTACTTTGCCAACTCCGTGTTGAAGGATCTGTGTTGAACTTGAACACCACACCGTGTCAATGTAAGGATTTTAACACTTCTTTATTGTATTTATTGGTTGCACAATTTGTTGTCGACAATAATTTAGGGCAGTTTAAACATCTCCTCTTATGATTTTCAGCTTGAGTTTGAAAATCGATTATGTATTATTCTACGCCCGTCCATATATTTTCATATTATTTCTTTTTATTAGATATGACATATTAAGCTCCTCTTTCTAAACTCTTGACATGTGCGTCATTGTCGACAAGTGCTGATTTTTATTTCTATTTTATTTTTTTTCCAGTACATCTCAATTAATGGTTTTCAACGCGAATGTATAGCATCCATACTTGACAAGTCGAAATATCTATTTATAACACTGTACACGTACTATCGATTAATATTAGATAAACACATCACAAAATGCATGTTGTTTGACAAATGAGTTTTTAGGGAAAAATAAGTTTTGAAATTCTGATTTTTTTAGAGATTGTGTGATTATATAGAGTTAAAAAAAAAATAAATAAATTATGAGGGTGTGCGATTAAAAATTACTTTGAGAAAAAAAAAACACACACACACACATTCCGTGGAGTGGAGTTGCAAAGGATAGCTTATATCCAGCATTTACACGCACAATTCTCTATATATGTATCAATTTCTCTTTCTACTCTGTGTCTCATATTTCTCTTTCACATATCAGAAATCTTTCCTCTCCTTCCTCCACTCGCCCTCTTTCTCCTCTTTCAAGAACCTTCTCTTCCTCTCCTTGTTTTTCTACCATCGTCTCTTGTTTGGGTTGGCGCAAATTCATTCATTTACTTCTTCAAAATCAAACCCTACTTGCATATATACAGTTAACATTTGTTGAACATGGTCCCCTCTTCTTCTTCCTCCAATCAACGAATGATTTGTTTGGAGTTTCCCATTTTTTTATGTTTAATTTTCTAAAGAAATATTGGAAGATACCAAGAAATCTTTAAATACGTAAGCCAGGACAAGAATCATATCATACCGTTTCTTCAAACCCAGATGCTGGTTTTTTGGTGGTAGTGTTATTAGATTTGATTCTGTTGTGGTTTTCCCATCTACAGAATTAATTAGGAATAAATATGAGGCCGCTTCAACCACCGCCGGCCCCCGCAAATCGGAACCGTCAGCGGCGGCGACCCGACCTGACTCTACCTTTACCCCAACGTGACCCATCTCTTGCTGTGCCGCTTCCGCTTCCGCCCAACTCAGCCCCTGCTTCTAGCTCCGCCGCCCAGCTTTCCCAGCCCCTCAACTTTTCCGAGCTGGAGCGTGTGAATCGAATAGGCAGTGGCGCAGGCGGCACTGTCTACAAAGTTATCCACCGCCCCACCGGTAAGCACTACGCCCTCAAGGTGATCTATGGCAACCACGACGACTCCGTCCGCCGCCAGATCTGCAGGGAAATCGAGATCCTCCGAGACGTAGACAACCTCAACGTCGTCAAGTGCCATGACATGTATGATCACAATGGAGAAATCCAGGTCCTCCTTGAACACATGGATAAAGGGTCTCTTGAAGGCATCCACATCCCCCAAGAAGCCTCTTTATCCGATCTCACCCGCCAGATTCTCTCTGGATTGTTCTACCTCCATAAGAGAAAAATCGTTCATCGTGACATTAAGCCTTCAAATTTGCTCATAAACTCAAGGCGTATTGTGAAAATAGCTGATTTTGGTGTCTCAAGAATTTTGGCTCAAACAATGGATCCCTGCAATTCATCCGTTGGCACTATTGCTTACATGAGCCCAGAAAGAATCAACACAGATCTGAATCAGGGTCAGTACGACGGGTATGCCGGTGATATATGGAGTTTAGGCGTGAGCATTCTCGAATTTTACTTGGGCAAATTCCCGTTTGGACGACAGGGCGATTGGGCGAGCCTTATGTGCGCCATTTGTATGTCGCAGCCTCCGGAGGCGCCGCCAACTGCGTCAAGGGAGTTTAAAGATTTCATTTCTTGCTTCCTACAGAGGGACCCTGCAAGGAGGTGGACCGCCTGGAAGCTTCTGCATCACCCTTTTATCCTGCAGTATGCTTCTCCGGGCAGTAACGGCGATGGCGGGAGCAATCAGGTGCATCAGTCTCATCAGCTACTTCCTCCACCTTCCCATTTTCCACCTTCTTGATTGTTACTTTCGGCTAATTTTTTTACCTTGTTAATTTTGTGGGTTGAATTCCGTAATTCTTGTGGGATATTCCATGCTGGTGGAGTGTGATTTTTGCATTTAGAACAGGAAATTCAAGAGGAATGGCAGGGTTGGGTTTATGTTTAGTCCAAGAATCTTAATCAAACAATCTTGTCTTTTAATGGTGATGTTTAACCAAGAAAAGAAATTTTATCTTTCAAGTTTAGCCCTCTACTTTTTGGTGTTGTATTTTACTCTTTTGTGTAAGAAACTAATTAGAATAATAAATCTTTTTGAAGGTTAATTACTTGAATATGAATCTTTAAGTTGTTGTAGCCATGATCCTCATGGACAGAGAATCTAATTTTGTAGTACTAATCAATGTTTATAGCCTAAAACCGGATGTAAAAAAGCTGAGACGAAATCTGGTGAACAGGCCGAACTGGTCACAGCTTCACTGGGTTTTCTTCAAAGAGAGGAAAAATATCTGTCAAGGAGCGATTTAGACTCTCTCTCTCGAGTTATGCTGTTAAGAATATCCTTAATGTCATCAATAACTTAAAGTTTCGTATTCGTGCTAATTGGAAGAGTCCTGATGCTGTAATAAGAGCCTTAAAACTACCACTCAAACGCCGGGAACTGGCAAGTTGCAACCTTTTCTTAAAGAAAAAGGAATATATGCTGCTAAGAAGCTGCCTTAAAGGTTGAACTTTGATATGATGTGGTGAACATCGTCGATCGGTAACTTTTATTTATGGTTACCGATGCGAACCTACAATGGCTCGATCTTGTGCTCAAATCTCCTGTACTCTTCCTCTTTTTCCCATAATGTTAATACCATCTACCCTAGTTGTTAACTTTAGGACTAAAGTTTTTATAGGCCTATGATGAGGTTGGGCAAATATTTGAGTGAGTGAGATTTGTTTGTTTTTTAAAGAAGATGCTTTATGCAGTGTATGGTAAACTTTATTATATTTCACCTTAGGAAGAATTAATTGTTCTAATGGTCACTGAATTTAGGGTCATGTCTTTGATTGATCGTTGAAGTTTAAAATGTCGAATTTTGGTCATTGAACTTAAATCCATGTATTCGATTGCTCATTGAAATTTAAAATATTGAGTTTTGACCGCTGAATTTTGAAAAATGTTGTACGTTATTCACTAGCATAAATGTTGAATTTTGAAAAATGTCAAGTTTATAGTGCGTAATTTACAATATTTTTCATAGTTCAGTGTTAAAACTCGACATTTTAAATTTTTGGTGAGCAACTGAAGGCATTGACCTAAATTTAGTGACCAAAAATCGACATTTTAAACTTTAGTACTAATCAAAGTAATTGATCTAAGTTCAGTGACTATTGAAACAATTAACTCCCTTCGGAAGGACATACCAATAATGTAGGAGGAACCAGAAAACATGTTGCCATACGGACATGTGATTATATGGTTAATTAGTTCTTTTGCCTTTCCCAGTTCTGTCCATTAGGCTTTTTTCCTGTCACTTTATTAATTGACAGACAGGAATCATGCATTGTATTGTATATGTATGAATTAGCATCTTTCTATTATTGAGGATTTGCATTAGGGGCTGGGATTATATCTCTTTTGAGCAGATTCTCCAGGTAAGGATACAGTGAATATATTCTAATAATATCGATCCCAAGCTGTTTATTACGTGCTATCATGGGCGATGCCATTCACGCCAGCACTGGACTTTTGGTTCAGGCTCAGATTCAATCAATTTATTTATTTTTTAAGTATTCCAAATTTGCAGCAAAAACTTCCTTGATCATGTGATTTTTCTGTTTAATATTAGGGATTTTGATTATGTGAATATTGAATTTTGGTAATATTTGTGATGGATTTCTTGATCATATGATTTTTATGTTTAATATTAGAGATTTTGATTATGTGAATGTTGAATTTTGGTAATATTTGTGATGGATTCCTAAAATTTTGATTTTTGTCAATTAGTTAAACAATTAGTGATGATTCTTTTGGCGTTCTACGGATTTGTAAAAATTAGTAGTTATTTTGATGGAATCCGCACTTCAATAAATTCGGCAAAAAGTTCCAATTTTGTGCAAGTTACCAAAAATTGATAGAATTTTATGTTGGCCGATAGTTTTGTGTCCCTTTAGGATGTCTCCTTATTTAATTAGGATTTTACTATTTTTAATATCTTTAGTTATTTGGGACGTGTTTTACTTTATTTAAAAATAGGTTTTTAGGATTTTAATTCATTTTTAATTATTTTCTAGTCTGCTTATTTAATTAGGATTTTACTATTCTTAATATCTTTAGTTATTTGGGACGTGTTTTACTTTATTTAAAAATAGGTTTTTAGGATTTTAATTCATTTTTAATTATTTTCTAGTCTGCTTATTTAATTAGGATTTTACTATTCTTAATATCTTTAGTTATTTGGGACGTGTTTTACTTTATTTAAAAATAGGTTTTTAGGATTTTAATTCATTTTTAATTATTTTCTAAGTTTTAGTATAAATAGGATTATTTCATTCTTTGTATTTTTTCAGACTTTGATATTTTGAGAATTAATTCGAGAGGTTTTTTCGCTTCCAATATTTATTCTTGTGTGGAACAATCGAATTTATCAAGATTTCGCGATCTTGTGGTGTTCAAAACTCGGGTAACATACAGTTAATTGTGTAATCAAAAGATCATTCATCTCTTTTTTACCTAGGGGTTGTTTGATTCATTAATTGGTTGGGTTAAATCCAGATCTGGATTAAATTTATAAGTTTCGTGATCAAAAGGTTAATAGTTTAATATATTATTGATTTTTTGGTTCGCAAATTTGTGAATTGAGTCATAAACTTTGACTTTTTGGCTTTCTTGGGGTTTGTGTCATTTTTTGGTGAGTTTAATAACGATCTAACGATTCGGGTTCACATCAGGTGGTATGAGAGTTTAGGCACCAGAATCAAAGTCATATCCATTTGTTTTTTTTTCTTCTTACTTTGGAGTCTATGTGTTGTTTTTCGTATTTTTCATTGATTTTGAGTCCTAGATCTTTTTGTCTTTGGTAGTTTATTTGTTTTGTGTTTTTGCAAAATAAAAATAAAAATAAAAAAATTATTGTTCACGCACTGTTCCGTACCATAGCTATTGTTAACAGGTTTTAAAAAAAAAATTTGGTGTTGGTCCCTCCAATTTTTTTTTTTTTTTTTTTAAATTTCTTAGTCCTTCAACTTCTTAATCTTGAATCTTCTACAATTCAATTGTTACCTCACAATTTTACTCTGAGTAATTGTTCTTGAGATCATTGATTGGAAGCAATTGAAATGTAAAAGGCTGAGTAGTGAGTTCAATTGAGAGTAAAGCTTAATATTAAGTGATTCCCGAGTGAAATTTGGTGAGACAGAAAATTGGTGAGAAAGTCAGAACGGGAAGGATCCACTTTGAGTATGATGTGTAATCAAAATAACATGGCAGACGATATGATGTTGCGGTTTGAGCACGTGATAATTAGTATGGAGAATAGGTTGGACAGGCTAGATGTTACGGTTACAAACCTTAGCTAGGGTCAACGTGCTGACATACTACATGCTAGGAGGCCGGCTAGACAAGAGCCTAGGGTGGATATGCAAAAATGAATATGAGTATGGCAGTGAATGGGATAATGATGAATTTGAAGAAGTAGAGATGGGACGAATGATGAATAGAGGTGGTAAGTTTGAACGAAGGGATAGAAACTGTGGGGGAGAAGACGGAGATGGAGGTGTGGGTAGCATTAAAATGTCAATTTCAACATTTCGGGGTAGGAGTGACCTAGAGGCATTTCTTGAGTTGGAGTTGATATTTGAGTGCCACAACTACTCGGAGGAGAAGAAAATGAAGCTTGCAGTCTTGGAGTTCACTGATTACGCCACCACTTGGTGGGATCAGGTGGTCACTTCACAGCAGAGGAATAGGGAGAGGCTGATAACTACTTGGGATGAGATGAAAGCGATGATGAGAAAACGGTTTGTGCGTGGCCACTATTATAGAGAGCTTCATCAAAGATTGCAGGAGTTGTACCAAGGGTCGAGGAGTGTAGATGATTACTATAAAGAGATGAAAATTCTAATGATTCGGGCTAATGTAGAGGAGGACCGGGAAGCTACCATGGCACGATTCCTGAATGGGTTGAACAGGGATATCGCCAATGTTGTTGAATTGCAGCATTACGTGGAACTAGAGGATATGTTGCATGTAGCAATGAAGGTTAAGAGGTAGTTGAAGAAAAAATTGGGAGCTAGTAATCAACAAGGCCCTAATTCATCTTGAAGGTCTAGGTGGGATGAAGAGAAAGTTGATGGGGCTGTTGTCAACAATAAAATTGAACCACCTAGGAGAAAGGATAACAATGCTGACAAGGTTGCACCAAAGGCGGAACCACAACAACCTAGGAATCGAGACATCAAGTGCTTCAAATGCTTGGGGACAGGACACATTGTTTCTCAGTGTCCAAACAAATGAGCCATGATTTTGAAAGACAGCGGGGAAGTGGTGAGTAACAGTGATGAAGATGGAATGCCCAAGTTAGAAGATGGGGATCCGGTTGAAGGGGACGCATTGGTGGTGATGTGCGAACTCAGTTTGCAAATCAAGATGAATGAAGTGGAGCAACAGCGGGAGAATATTTTCCACACACGATGCCATGTGGAAAATAAGATATGTAATTTAATAATTGACGGAGGTTGTTGCACAAATTTAGCCAGTACCACATTAATCGAGAAGTTAGGTTTAAGAACAATTAAACACCCAAAAACCGTATAGATTACAGTAGTTGGACAATCATGGAGAGGTTAAGGTGAACAAGAGGGTGTTATTGAATTTGTCAATTGGGAGGTATAAGGATGAAGTGTTGTGTGATGTTGTGCCTATGGATGCGGGACATATATTATTGGGTGGGCCTGGATAATACGATAGGAAGGTGAAGCATGATGGATTTAAAAATAGTACAGCATTGAAATGGATGGGAAAACAATTCCACTTGTTCCTTTGACACCACAACAAGTGTATAATGATCAATTGAGGTTAAAAGGTGAGAAGGGGAAAATGAAAGAAAAACGAAAGGGGAGCTTATATGCAAAAAAAAAGTGAGCTTGATGGTGGAAGAGAGTTAGCGAAGGCTAACATATCCCTCCCCAGTTTGACATATTCCTTGTTGCAGGAACATAAAAATTTATTGTATGAGAAATCACCATTTAAGTATTTCATTGATGTACAACAAATGGAGCAACTTTGAAGCATTGAAGAGGAATCAATCAATCATTGCAACACGGGGTACAAGAAGCT